TACATTTATCAAACTATAGATTGTCCTTTTTCAGTTTATTTTACAGACCAAAAGCAAATGGATTTACGTTTGCATTTTAGATCTGATCAAATCTTGATGGTCCAAAAACAAAAACCAAGTCTGTCGTTCCTCATTCAGAAAGTCAGCACAAGTTTCCAAATGTGCTGATGCAGTAGCAGAACAATCTTCTAATGATCCATGACAAAAGTGAATCTCAAGAGTCATTCTCCTCTGTCGATTTTCAGACAGCAAGCTAGTGTTTTTCCGTTGTATTTTTACGTGTATTTATTATTATCATGTTTCTCCGACTGTGAAATCATACACTGCACAGATTTTTCTGATTACCTGCTACTTTTAATTTTCCTTGCCGTTATTTGACAAAAACGTACATATTGTGGCTTAGTTACGTGTCCACTAAACCAAAATACCACAAAAGTGTGTGCCAATTTTTGCGACGGCGATAATGTCACAAGCTTGCAAAAAAAAAAGTCACTGTGTAATTGTTTACATTTTCCAAGAAGAATAAGGACACGCCGGAGCCTTTTAATCTTCCCAACACACAGTTGCCATTTCACTCGCACAGTCTTGGCTCGACTGAACGATGGCTCAGCCCCTGCTTGCATTGCCGCAGTCATTTCCAGCCATATGTACCTCCCCTTTTGACCTCATCTGGATTGTGCGAGCAACACATTGGAGGAGAAAATGAATCTTAAAAATGTCCCCTCGGTGCATGCTTCCCTGCAGTTTATGGTTTACAACCCTCTGGGCTTTCTACCCCCCCCTTGGCCCCACCCTCCCCTACCGCCCCAACGGTTCCACGGCCTCAGTGGTTACAGTCAGCACTCTTTTTGTGTGCCGTCCTTTATGTTTAAGGTATTGACTTTTGCCGTCAGACAATCAGAGATGCTTTAATGTTGCTGTCAGATCATATTTGCAGATGTGAATGTGTTTTTACAGCAGTATAAATATTAGACCAAAAATACGTAGTTATAGACATCCGAGTCTTCTACGCAATTTTATATCCAACAATCGTGGTCAGCGGCGATTGATGATGCAGAATGAATATTTCCTCATGTTTGAACTTCAGGTGTGATTACACAGGGGCTGAATTACTGAATTGACAGGTCAAAGTACCGAATTCCAATTTCATGCCCATATACGGTGTTTGTCTATTTACGTTTTAATCAACACCGGTCCAATTTGGCAATGTTTGTACTGTTGGAAAATAAGAAACAACCATCATGGGCAGATGCCCCAATTGCAAATTCACAACCATCAACACAGAGGTAAACAGTGATACAGAAATAATCCGGATCCTACCATGACGTCATTTTGTTGGGTAGATTTAAGGGTAGCTGTGTTGTTATTACTCCACGGAATGGTTGACAATTATTTTTCTTATTTAACAACTGACACACCTCCGATGTAGCATATTTAGTACTTATTTCATGCCTCTGCTTGAGGTTTAGATTTACAGTGGGTGGTTTTAAAATGTTTCTTTTTTTTTTTTTTTTTGGAGGCGGGGGTGGTTTTTGATCTGATTCTCATCCATGTTTGGAAGAGGACTTATTCCGATCTGAATATATCCGATTCCATGCGTTTATTTTTGTCTACGTACGCTGGCATGATGAATATCGGAATCGTGCCACTTCAGAATCTTGTCACTAAATTCATGCAAGATAGCTACAAAATCAGAGAAGGACTGAATGATAGCTTTTAGCTTTGGTTTGTCGTGTGATGGCACACTATGCAGCAGATTGAAAATGTCTTCTTGATGTAGCTTCATGTGACACATTTTGAACAGAACTGGATTTCAGAAGTATTTTCGGCAGAGATTTTTATTTATACACTGTCCGTATTCGTTTGTGACTCGCTCCCCATCGACTTTGAGTTTGCCCTTCATATGTGAAGTGAATATTGGTCTCCTCGACATAGTCCTCTCGGGGCATCCCTCAATCTATCTTGAAAAGCAGTGAAAAGCTGATGGTCATGAGAAAAGAAATATATCAGATGAGGAATTGCACTGATCCAGAAAAAAAAGATTTGAGCATGTTGTTTGCTTTTCGGCAGGAGACGTATACATGAATTGTGGCTTTACTATTTGGAGGCAACGCATCACAACAGCGATGGTTGCAAATAGTCTCCAGTTTGTGCAGGAATCCTTTTTTTTAAACACATGCTTTGCACAATTTTCATCTCAGTAGATTGTCCCATCCAGATTTTGGACACATCCACCATCTGTGTATTTATTACTTGCTCCTTTATTTTGGCGAGTCCACTTCTGGGCGGGGTGATTTCCGAAGGGCGTTCCCACACCTGCAGTTGATTAGCAATCACCTCCCTTGTATAAAAACCTCTGCTGATCTGCAAGCGGGTGCCAGATGACTCACGCGTTGTGAGGGTTATTTTGGCCATTATTAGCGCACATGTTTGCTATTTTTTTACTTTGTTGCGTAACTGTTTGATTGTCTTTCTACTAATGTTCAGCCTGGCTCCGCATTTCCTTGATTCTATACTTATAACCTTTGTGCCATTCCTTCATCTCGTCATCAGTTCTCCAACACTAAGCCAAAACCTCACCTTTTTGTTTGCGAGCCACCGTTGTGTCCTGAGCTTGGTCATCAGACTCTCACTTTCATCAAGCACTCCCTTTGACCTGTGCCAATTGTCTCCCATTCGCTTTCCGGTGCACTGCTGCCTTTACTTTTTGTTTTCCATCACATGAACATGAAAAAAAAAACCAAAGAGGCATGAGTCAAGGACAGCACAGGCTGACTGCAAAACCGAGCACATGTACATTTCCTGAGACTTGAGAATGTTATTGAAGTAGAGAAAGCAGAATTTCAATGTGGAAAGGCTTTATGCAGCAGAGTTGGCTCGACTATTCTGTTTGAAAGACTCCAATCAAAGTAGTCATTCAATTAAAAGGAAATACAAGTACATTTATCAGAAGACAGAGTTTATGACTTGATGTTTGGAGGTTCATCAATAAAAAAGGGTGGTACTGACCACGCTCAAGAACAGTGGTCCCCAACCTTTTTTTAATTTTTTTTTCATTTTTGTATTTTTTTTTTTTGCCATATGCCACTTTCACATCGACATACCTTGATGAAACATAAAACAAAAAAACTCACCATTAGACCATTGCAATGAGTGTTTTTCTTCACAGTTGCCGTTGAGCATCATTAAAAAAAAAAATGGAAGAAAAAAAAAATCAGCAAATGCCAATAAATATCACGGATAAAACTCACTGTAGTAGCCAACTCACAGTGACTCTTTGATCAACTTAATTGTTATTATTATTTTTAATCCAGTTTCTGTGTTGTCATGGTGCTTGGAGACTCTGCTCAAGATTGAAATCAATTAGCTTGTTACCTATTTAAGCACTGGAAAGAGGGGGGTGGGGGCAGAGTTAGCTGGAGAGCTCAGCCTTGAAGGTAGCGTACGGGCGTATGCCAGAGTTGGCAGATGGCATGAGACTGCAAAAAAAATAAAATAAAAATAAAGATAAAAAAAGAAACAAAATTTGCAACAGTGCCTGCTTAAATGCATATCAGAGTTTTCTGGGAGTCTCTTTTACAATATTATTCGCATGTGTGGCATATATTGCAACTGCACTCTCAAGTGCAATATGATATTGCACCTTTCCAGCGCTCTTGGCTTACTATTGCCGCTGAAGCGCATAAAATGAAAAATGCTTAAACCGACGTGAGAATACATGCAAGACCAGATTTGCTTGAGGAACGGCCACGTTTTAGTGTGTCTCCACCCAAAGCGCCTTTCGAGCATGGCGTTAAGTCAATAACAGACATCATCGCTGAGAAGACTTCTGTCGGGTTTTGATGCAATATACATAAAACTGGATCATGTCATTCGAATTTATTGGCTCAATATTTATTAGGATAGGTCACCGAGCTGACATTGATCCGGTATGCTGTAATTATGCGACAGCAATGACGCAATTAAGTGAATGCCCGAGGAGTGCTGAAAAATCTCATTTGAATCAAAAGTGAACTATCTAGTCTGCTGAATAAAAATGACAATTATTCTGAAGCCTAACTTTGATTCCGTATTTTAATGCAGTCTCATTGTCAAACTGTGAACTGAGTAATCATGACTTCCACAACATTCCTAGGAAATCACCGTGTCCCATCACCGCTAAGCTACTTTAAGAACAGGCCCCCAGACTAATTCTTCATAATTTTAACCGTTGCTTTTTACTTATGTTTGTTCCTGAGTGTTTTGGGCAAGATTGGAATGTGTGTCTATTTTCATGTGACTGTGGATGGTATAAGGAACAATGACTTCTCTGCCATGTTGTTTGCTTGCTATGTTATGAACATAAGACGCTCAAAGCAGATTCTTTTGTACTCAGAGCAATTGGAAGTTTATTCTTGAGATGTGGTGTTACTCTAAATGAATTGTGTCAGAATATCAAGGGGTCCAAGAACACTGGCTTCATTTGAAAATGGCAAAAAAGTCTCACGTATCAGAATCTTTCCCTAGATGTAGGGGGACCATGGCCAACCTTGGTCGCCACTTAGCGCTACCCCCGATGAGGTGCATGCAGGGCATGAAATATCATTTTGCAAAACAATGCCTGGAAATTCAGATGTCATCAAGCCCTAGTAGAAGAAAAAAATTTGTTGTATCCAGTCCACATCATTTTATTTGACTTAATATTTTAAATAACACAATAAAACATACAAAACTATTTCCAAAACATGTTGACATTTTTACTGCAAATATGGGTGCGGGGGGGATTCCAGTTGGTCTTTGAATGCATGAAGCTGTTGTTTTGTTTCCAAAGTCAATTTCTACAAAAAAACAATCAGAATGTATTTTATCATACAGTGAATGGTCAGAAACATCCGTCTCAGCCTTATTTGAACAATCACCTCATTACAAACATTAGCTACTGCTGGCATTATGCATACAAGTGTGTCTTAGGTGCGCTTTGCTACAGTCCTCGTGTGTGTGTGTGTGTGTGTGTGTGTGCGTGTGTGTGTGTGTGTGTGTGTGTGTGTGTGTGTGTGTGTGTGTGTGTTTCCAATTACAAACTAGCACAGCGGGCAATCGCACAAACATAGCGACAAAGGTTTGGTTCTTTGTGCTCTGGAATCCATGTCCATAATCAATCAGGTTTTATACAGTGAGAATTAAATAATGGGGCTCATAGTAAACAGTTGACTGCCCTTCACTAATATTCTTTATTTATAAGGTTGAACTCATCGACAGTGTCTATACAAACGCGTTCTTTCAGACGTCGCATGTCCTTTTGAAGGCAAATCTGTTTTGTGACACAGCTGGAAAAAAAAAATGAAATTGAAAAAGAAACAAAGCTTACACTGTCCTGAGAGAGCTTTTTGGTCAAATGCAACAAACTTGACAATCACAATCTAAAACCTTGTATTCACCATGAGCTGTCGAGAGCTGCTTTTTAAATACTGAAAGGTGATTTTCAAAGATACTGGACCCGGATGAGGATAAAGCATACAAGACCACGGGAGGATGAATGGACTTAACATGAACAGCTTACATTTTGATCTTTGAAAAATTTGATATGGTGTCAACAATTACAGTATGCATGTGTTTATTGCTCCATCAGAGGTTCCGCACTACCCAGTGCTTTGTACTCATGAGTCCCATTTGAATTCCATCGACTATGGACGCACCAACAGAATCATGTTCAAGAATAGAGATTTTGTGTGAACTCAAAACATTTAAATAAATAAATAAATAAATACATAAATAAATAAATAAAGTGATGATTTGCCTTTCAGAGCGCCCAGCGTTACCACACAGTTCCTTCGCTCACCTCGGACGAGGGCTGTGACAGTTGGTTGGTGTATCCGTTGTCGCCGAGGGTGATGGTGGTGAAGGGCGTGCTGGGCCCGCACATCTCACTGGAGATGCTATGCATCGAGCCCGGGCCGTTGGGCTCCGGGCTGGGTGAATTAACCGGGTGGTGTGACACTGTGTCAGGGTAACACTGCACCTCCCCCGGACAGTGGTGGCCGGGGTGGCGATGCTCGATGGCCCCTAAGGGGGTGCCGGCGGGAATTGCTGAGGGCACGAAGCCCAAGTCTGCTGGTGTCTGTGCCTGGGATGATGGTGGGCCTTGGTAGTATTCATAATTCCCGGCTGGGCCATAATATTCACCAGGATAATCTGCATTCATTCAGAAGGAACATAATATATGAGTAGGGTGGGAAAAAAAAATTATGAAGTTGCCATATTAGGAACACAAACTAATAAGAACCAATGTAATAAATATAATGATGCCCGCCTTTGGGTGACAATTTAAGAGTGGTAATAAACATCAAACAGTAGTTGGCCACTACATTAGGCACTATATTTGAAAAAATGTAATTCCCCCCCCCCAAAAAAAACCACATGCTGTTTGTATATCAGAGAGATTCTCTTTAAACAATGCAATTATTTTGAAACCTGCATAATATGAACAGGCATTACAATATTTTGACACTTTTTAGAGAGGTGAAGCGACTGAAATGAAATTAAAATTTCTGATACCCTGGGGTCACCTTCGAAAAGCCTCCCAGTATACGTGGTGCAGTGCAAACTACATCCACTGTCATAAAAAAGAAATTAGTATTATTATTCCTGATGTTCCTACAAAGCAATTTGAAATCCACCTTTATTCTCAAACACCCTACAGACAAGTTATGAAATTAAATATTGCAAATCTGTAGAGATGTATAATGCAACTGAACAAAGTCCCGTGCGATATAAAGAAATCATAAGGATTACGATGTTATTTCATATCTATAGCTCACCTCCATAGTAGGAGAAATGGCCAAGCTCCGCGGTGTCCACCCGCTCTCCCAGAGCTCGCATCCTTCTCGGGGTGCGGAAGAACATGTGTCTCCTGGCACTAAGCGCACTCAGTTGCTTCATGCGCCTCTCTTTGGACCTCCGGTTTTGGAACCACACCTTTTGGAAAAACAAGGTGACTCGATATGCATTCGTAAAATTATTTCAAAATGCAGTTCCCAATAAAACGACCGACACCGTCCATTTTGCGCGATGGAAGATTGCGCTTTTTTGTGCGTTACGATAGGTCAATCGTAAGAATTAAAAAACAAAAGTAAGGTGGGATAAATGCAGAGTGTACTGCACGGAGTTCTGACAAAATATTGCATTTTATTTCTTATTGCTGTTCAGCTGACCGATGCATTACAAACAGAATTTCATGGACACTCGCGTGCGTAAAAGCAACAATTCCGCGGACAAAAAACTAAATACCGTAAGCGAGAAGGCTCCGTTTTGTTGTTTTCTACCGCATTTACCTGGATGACTCTCATGTTCAGACCGGTCTCCCGCGACAGCTGCTCTCTGATGTGTCTGGTGGGTTTCGGTGTGGCCGCGAAAGCCGCTTTCAGCGTTTCCAGCTGTTTGGCCTTGATGGTGGTCCGAGGCCCGCGTCTTTTCCCGACTGCGCCTTGCTCGTCGTTCTCGTTGGGGCAAACGTCTTTGTCTGACAAATGACCCGCCTCCGAGTCCTTGCAGTCATCCTGTTGCAGGTCCTGCGAGTCCGGAGATAAACTGGGCTCGCTACACGTCGTCACTGCCAATTGACGCAAACAAAACGGCGCACTTGAGAAAACTCATTAGAAAAGTGCGCTGGGTCACGTGATGGTTGTATTCGGATCCGGAGTGATTTTAGGGGATACAAGGGAATCCCAATTTAAATTTACAGACGCAGAACAAATGTACCCCCGGTATGAATGAAATAAAGACAAATTCTGTTTTTAAAATTGTGCCGAGTAGCAGTCCTTGAAAGGTGGTCTTTGACAAAGCTTAACCGTAACACATTTTGCTGTTCAAATCAAATATTTTACATGCTTATTTTTTTCCCCTGATAATTCAACAAATGAAAGCCAAAGGGATCGTGAAAATAACGATATAATATGGACTGAGCAAAATATACGGCTGAGCAAATTATTTAGATATTGGAAATTTAAACACACGCAATTATCACATGTATTCCATTGATAAAAAAATCAAGTAATGCTACTACTACTCCTAATAATAATAATCATAGTAATCATAATAATAATAATTGTCAGAACAAACCGGATAAGCGGTAGAAAATGGATGGATGGATGAATAGTAATAACAATAATAATTAGAACCTGAGAGGTGAATGGTGTCTTTGCCGTTGTTGTTGTGGTAGTCCTCCTTGCAAACGAACTTGAATTCGTCCAGGATGTAGAGCTCCTCGCCGGTGGACAACTGCTTGTTGCACATCACACAAGTGAAACAGTTGAGGTGGAACACTTTGCTCTTGGCCCTGCGGACAAGATCACTGGGCAGAATCCCCTGGGAGCAACCTCCACACTTGGTCCCAAATCTCCTGTGGCAGGCAAGAAGACAGTAGAGCTATTCATGTGCGACATACGGCACGAGAGGATCTAGGAATAGGTTATGTTTATTATTATTAATATTATTATTATGCACTACAACGGAAAAAATTAGGTGATGTAAAGTCTTCTAAAAAATCAAAACAGATGTGTATTGCATTCAAATGCAAAATGGAATGAAGGGGATAATAAAAATACAAAACAAAAACCCGCAATATAATATCTGCCACAAAAAAAAAAAGCATTGAAATGTTTCCAATGCATGTTGGTCTTCTTAATTGCTGTTTTACACGAGTTGACATCCATAATTCATTTTTATTATTATTTGGTGATTCCCCTTTTATATTCACCTTGCTTTACATCCATTATTATTATTATTATTATTATTATGATGATTATTATTTAGGGATTTCATCTCTTTCCTGTTTATCACATCATACGTCTCTTTACCAGACAGATAATAGTCGTATAATTTTATACAAGACTCTTACCTAAAGAAGTCATTCTTGCAGTAGAGTCTGCCTTCTCGTGAAAAACACTTTTCTGTCAAAGTGCACTTGCATTCGCAGCACTGCACACACTGAACGTGCCACGGTCGGTCCAGAACTTTGAGCAAAAACCGATCGACAATTGGTTTTTCGCAGTTGGCGCAATGAATCATCGTGCAGAGTTAATTCCAATAAATAAATCTATTTTTTTTTTTTTTTACACACAGTGCTTTCGAGCGTATTCCAGTCTCCCTCCGTCACCTCGGCGTTCTTCTCCAAGGATTCCCCCGTTGCATCCAAGTCAATGTCAACAATGACGAGGATTATCCAACCGATTTAAACATGTCAAGAGAATCCACACAAGACCGACAGCTCCCAAAAACGGGTCATCAGTTGAAAAAAGACTGCGAGACAACATTTCTGTCACAAGCACGAAAAAAAAAAACACGGTGGGCCAAATCAAGTTGATCTCGGGAATAATAGAGTCAACATCAACCCACGTCTGCGTGTCAGTAGATCCTGGATTGCGTCAAGAATTGTGGGGAAAACAACGACGGGTTCTGTCACTGTGTCCAACCTTGCCATTTGAGACCCATTTTCCATCTATTGTAACATCAGTCTGGAAAAACGCACTAACGAGCTCCCCTACTTAGCCAACAGCCAATCGCATGACGAGAAAGAGGTGACATCACGAAGACGAAAGCCAATAAAAAGGCCGTTTAATTTCCACCCTTCTAACGGGAGCACCAACTGTATTAAAAATGACATAGCTAAATGTTTTATCATGCATAAAATCGAACACATACGCTTATTTTTTTATTTTTTTATTAAACTGAATATACATTTAAATAGCAGATATCCAAAAGCGAAAATGTTTTAATAGAAAATATCCAACAAAAAAAAAAAATACATTCCTAAAGTAAATCAGAAAAATGTGGTAGGAGTGTACAATTGAGAATTGACCATATTTCACATCTTGAGTGAAACTATAACAACTCACATAATTGTATTTTCATCCTCAAATTGTTTTTACTCATGGTTTACCTTTTTTTGTGTGCATTTATCCTTCATACGTTTCAGGCATGTAGTACACGATGACCTATGATGACTTTTCTCAAAAGACATAGGCTATGTGAGTCTCAATGCTGAATGACATCATTAGTACCGCCACTGTGCTTTCCACACACACATGCGACTTGCATAAGTCCTCATCTGCTATCAAAGGACAAGGCTGATTAGCAGCCAAATAAATCTGACCATATAGGCTACATTTTAGATGTTATCATACTGGGATGGTGCACTGGGGATGGTGATTGCACAATATTAGTCCATGTACCAAGGCTCTGCTCATTCATGATTGTGAATCTTTTGAAGTTCTTGAAAGAGACATCACATTACAAAGGAAAGTCAGCTTTGTAGTTCTCAGGCCACACATGTCAAATGTGTTTCAATCGAATACATTAAATTGACTCATATGTAGATTTTTCAGCACAAATTGGCAAAAAGTTCAACGCCCTCAGCCGAAATCAATGTCAAATGCATCGTTGGTTGCAACAGCATTTTGGAGGAAATTTTATTTTCACAAGCTTTTTCAGGTCATACAAAAATAGATGACATGCCTAACAAATTGCAGGCCGATATTTTACACAGCTAAAAATTCTGTGGTGGCCTACACGTGTATTATTAATACTGCAATTTAATTTTTAGTTGGCAACCTGGAATATTTGGATGGCAGCACCATTTTAGAGAATTTTAACAACACTCAGCTGTTATGTGTGATTGTTTGGACTCCGAGTTCATGAAACACTGGTCACGTGAGCTTTTAATTCTTACTCTTCTTGTAAAAGGAAGCCAATTTACAACTCGACGGTGAGATTTATAAAGTGCTGTTGTGTTAAAAAAAAAAAATGTACAAAGACGATTTGTGATTGATCATAACACACACAATCCGAAAACCAGTGTCAATGACTCAAACGGGCGATGCAAAGCAATTATCATGGTGGCATTCCAAGTGCGAGTGTGGAGAAGTGTCTCCCTCCGGGTCTGGGTTTTTGCAGTGTAGGTGTTGATGAACCACCCTTCCCAGTGTGCTGATCCCCCCACCCCCACCCCATCCCTCCAGCACACAAGAGGTCTTTCACAAGCAATGGAATCTGGCATGGTGCACATTTTTTGTTTTGGAAGGGGGTTGGGAAGCATGTCATTAGTGTTTGTTAATTGCTGCTAATTGGCCTGAACAATATGATGAGCCCACCCACTGGGACTGTTCAAATGAATAAATAAAAATCAAAATGAATTATCAAAGGCAAATGAAAAAGGGTTCAAAACGATTGACGAAAATGAAGACGACATTGATAAGACTCTGAATAAGCCACAAGGTTTATGACGTATCACATTTGAGACACCCTCGGGAGTTCAACTTGACCCGGATGATCCGAATGGCACGCATCTATCAGAAAGTCATACATGTAAGATGAAAATATTTTGCCAAGAAAGAGATGACTAAGTCCCCCCTCCCCACACACACACACACATATGTTTCACATGTACATTTTATTGACTGTTTACATCTCATTGCAGATTGCAGAGCTGCAGGAAAAGAAAAAAAAACATTGACAAATATTATCATGCATTTCGCAGTAGCTGCTGTGGTTGTGGTAAAAAAAATAATAATAAAAAAAAAGAAATTAGAACCAAAAGGTCAACTTTAAAGGACACAAAACGTACACTGTGCCTGTAAGATGGGGCCAATGTATTTTTAAAAACAGGACATGATGGAATCACGTCATTGGGAAAGGTTGCTTTCAGTTGTAGCATGACTATGCCCCAGCGTATAATGCACGGTCCATAAAGGCATGCTTGCGGGAATTTGGTGAGAAAAACTTTTGATTCCTCACCTCAAGTGTCGGTGTCCAAATGCGGTGCAGCTTATCTGTTGGTGAATTCATGTGCTACTCCTCTTCCAGAAACATTGAGCATGAAAAATTATAGAAATCTGACATATACTTTTTGAGGCAAGAATCGGTTTCTCATATTGATTATAATTGAAAATGAAATATTTGCAGGCATATGCACTTTGTTTGGTGTTGTGGAAACAATTGGAATAACAACGACGGTTGGGAGACGCAAAGTTGAGAGCAATTACCGGTAAAAAAATTAGACAAAAGGTCTTCTTTTCGGATGCTTTGTTTTTGCTGTTGCAGACTTTTCTGTCCCATCTTAACACTTCAAACCTTGAACACTAATCACCAAATACAGCATGCCAACCAATATTTTTTTTTACATTAAAAAAAATATATATATATCATGCTTCTGTCCATTTTTTTTTTGTTTGTTTTTTGTTTTTTTTTACTGTTGCCTTCATAACGTGGACGTCGATTTGTTGTGTGGCTCTTTTAGGGTACATTTTTGGGGGGTCTCTTTTTCCTCGTCTATGGGGCTAACATGGCCTTACATCCTCAAACAATATACAGTAATCCCTCGTTTATCGCGGTTAATGGGGACCAAAACCACCCGCGATAAACGAAAATACGCGAAGTAGCGACCAACTAACATATACAGGTAAAAAAAAAAGACATACTTTTTTTTTAAGTCCGCAAAAAGTCCGTAAACGGTCCGCGAGAAGCTGAAAAACAACAGCGAGTCACATAGAGCAACATATACAGTACTGTACTCCATGTATATTAAAAAAAAAAAAATTCAAAAAAAAAAATTTTTTTTTTTTTTTTTATGTTTGAAAAAATCCGCGATGCACTGAAGCCGTGATAAACGAACCGTGAAATAGCGAGGGATCACTGTACACTGTATTCCATTAGTGCAAACCTTACTCAGCACTGCGCGGGTTTGGACAGGTTTCAGGCACAGTGAGGCAGAGGGATCCCTCTCCCATCTGAGGGCCAAGAGAGGGATGTGCCTAAGGGGCCGTTCTGTGAGAGGGCCCAAGGGAGAGAGTGCCCTCAGCCTCTTGGTGATGATGGTGATTGATGCGGGCACAATTCAGACACCGCAGACGTTACAGCAAATTAAAAGGCTATTTTGTAAAGTTATAAAGGAGCAGAATGGCAGGGCGGGGCCGAAAGGAGGGGGTCCTTTCCCTCGGCCCTCCTGCCCCAAGCTCTGTCACACCATCAGCTTCTGTTTAGCTTCCTCAGCGTCATGAGTCCCTCAGGGATGGCTGTCGCAAGCCTTTCACACTGATGGTGCGTACGCCAATGCGTACGCTTGTGCACAGATGGGAGTTGGTGTGCGTGATGAAAGGATATGGATAAGAGTGTACGCTTTATTTTTAGTTAGAGAGAAAGTCCACAAGCGCACATTGTTGTCGATGTTTTTTTTTTCCCCAATCATACAATAACAAGGCAGTGGATAGAATGACAGGCCTTTATTGTGAAGTCCTACAATAAAACAACAGGGATGGATGACTTGCCTGTTCAACTCCTAGTCCAATATTAGTCATTGAAACAAGACATTAACAACAAATGATCAATTCTTGGATCAACGGAACAATAGCTTCTGGTTCTTGAAGTAGGATGGAAGGACAAGAAAAGAGTCCAGCATTTGTACAGTATGTTGGCGTGCATTATCCATATTAGTCACTTCATGTGCCAATGTGTCATGGAAATGGTTTTACGTTTTTTTACATCATCCTGCCAGTAAACAAACAAACAAATGACCTTTCAACCAAATTAAAAACAATATAAAAAAATGTTGTTTTGTTCCACATCAGTTTTATGCTTTTGGAAAGTCACTTTGTCTCTTTGGAAATAATGTGCCTGGAGGCAAAGCAGCAGCATGGCCTCCCTTTGGCCTATCAGACCCTTATCTACATGATTTACAAATCATTTATCTTCAATTTGAATTTAATTGACCTGGCTGACCTGATGATGCACACGTTGTTGGAGGTGCGCCCTGCCTGCGAGCGGCGTGTGTGGGGAGAAGAGATATGGAGACAGACTGCGTGAGGCGCGAGGCAGAGCAGCCTGCAGGGTGGACAAGTCACACGGCTCAGGTCAAACCGGTGTCAAGTGGGGAGAGAGGCCAGCTGAGCTGCCTTGGCGCACACATTGTGCTCATCAATGCAGCTGCCGTCAGTTATCGGGAGTGCCGGTGAAAAGGGGAGGCCCACTTGGCCCGAGGGGGGGCGGGGCCCAGGAGCGTGTTCATGTTTGGGGGAATCAAAGAGTGGGGGGATTGGACCCTGGAGACATATGGTTCTACTAGCAATGGGGAAAGAAAGGGCTTTTCCACAGAACACATGACAAGACTCTCACGAGCACATCACCTGTCTTCCAAACAAATAATCCAAATATAATTTTCACCAATGCAATATTATGAATGTTTGTGCCATGCAAATAAGCGGTTGGTATTACAAATCCTCAAACAGACCGTCTACAAACTCATACAATTTAATGGGATCCATTGTGAGAGTCTTGTTTGACAAAGTCGGAGAGCGGTTGCTTCAACAACCCAATGAATCCACCTTTTTTTTAATCGCAGGTGACGTGCTTGTGTCCCAGCCGCAAGAGGTGAAAATCCGTGGTTGAGGTTTACTGTAAAAGTGACGTAAAACAAACATTTGCATATCTACGACAGTAACCATAAACATTCAAACAACAGTTTAACACACACACGGAGCAGCAGAACATATAGAGCAAACAATTATACTCATAGGCATACCGTATTGGCCCGAATATAAGACGGCCCTGATTATAAGACGACCCCCTCTTTTTCAAGACTCAAGTTTGAAAAAAGACTTTTTCAACACCAAAT